CACCCCCCACCCCCCGCCTCTGACCACAGTCCACAGGAGCCGGCACGCCTCCCCCGAGCCAGGTGTGGTTGGGGGCCGCTCGGGCTGCCAAGCTCACCTCATAGAGCGCCTGTACCATCTCCACCAGCACCCACTGCTCTGTCGCAGTCGCCATGGTCAGCTGCCGGGGCCTCCTTCCGGAAGGCGGGTCGCAGGTACGCTCCAGCGCGCGTGGCGCGGCCCAGTGACGTCATCGCGCCAGGGGGCGGGGCGGAGCGGCCGAGCGCTTGACTCTGTCCTCTCTTCCCCGGCACTGAGAAGCTGGGGCTACGCGGGGTGGGCAAAGCTTAGGGCCCTGGAGGGTTGAATATGGACTTAGGGCATCGCCAGACGTTCCGGAGAGGTGGGAAACAGCAGGCTGGTTCCCGGGGCTAGTGTTCCCACGTGGCCATTATATGCCAGGCCCCTGCCGTGTTCTGGGGATGGAGGGATCAAATGGCCCTTGGCCCCCATTTGGGCGAGTGTTATTAATATAATTGAAAACATTATTTTAAATTACATAAGTAAAAATTTCAGAATGTAATATCATTAAAAATACAGAAATGTAAATAAAAATAGCCAACTCTTATATAGCACTTACTGTGTGTCATGCAGATATTAAGTCACTAGCAGGTAGGTGTGGAACATTCCAATGTCTTCATAGTGTCAGAGGAAAGAATATCCAACCTATAGAAAAGTTTTATAAGAGTTTATTAGAGCCAAAAATTTGAGGACATGCCTGGAAACAATCTCCCGGATTGAGAAAATGCTTTGGAGTATTGCAGTTTTGCAGTTCATTTTATACGTTGGAATCAAAGGAGAAGACCTAAGGGAGGTTCCATAATATAATATCCATTGGTGAAAGATTAAAGAAGCTGGAGAAAGCAAAGCGGAAAAATGTCTAGGATTGAATGAAAAGTAAAATGGAGAGATACATACTTCTTTTACATTGCTGGATGCAGGGTAGTTAACAATAAACAGATGGTCTTGTGCTCTGGTGCTAGCTGTTGTGACTTCTAGAGGTCTGGAAAAGAAAATTCCTCAAAGTTATGTTATCTCAGATGCACGAAGACAATAGAAAGTTTCACTTAAAGTAAAGACTGACCTTTATCATGAAAGCTACAGGTCTGGGACTTGAATACCCACCATGATCCACTTAGGAATTTTTTTATGTTTGTAATATCTTGTGTGGTTACTTTCAGTCACCGAATTTGTTAAGGTCTGCCATGTGCTTTCACCTACCCTGAGCCTGTCGGTTTTAGTGTATAGCCCCCTTTTCGGTTCACAGTAGGTATATACAAACATAGTGTGCATACACATTTCCTTGCATTGGATTTCTTAAATACAATTGCAATCATAGGGATAATGTTGTTCTACAACTTGCTTTTTTCTATTATTTTTTCTTGTAGTTTTTGGTCTATAAATCTTGTATTTTTAAAGGCTGAAGAAGACTATTTTCTTGAAATATTTTCTTATACTTCTTGTTCCATTTTATTTAAACATTTTCCTACTGGTGGACATTTAGATTTCCCCTTATTTTTTCCGTTACAAATAATGCTGCAGTCAACATATATGTGCGTATATCTTTCTGTGTATGTCAGAGCGTTTCTGATGAGCTTCCTCAAAGGGAAATTATAGTCAAAGAGTATACATGTTGTTAATATTGATAAATACTGCCATACTGTTCTCCAGAATGGCTCAACCAATTTAAAATGTTTGAAAGTGTGGCTGCACTCTAACCCATGATAACTATAATCAATCTTTTTAAAGTTTTTGCCAATTTAATGGAGATAAAATGATACCTTACTGAGTTTTATTTTCCATGCTGCTGGTTATTCATGAGGTTTAGCAACTTTTTATGTTTATTGGCATCAATTGTCCTTCTGTGAGTCACCAATTCATATATTTTGCCCATTTTTCTATTGGTTATTCTGTATTTTCTTATAGCTCTATAGGAGCTCTTTATACATTTCGAATATCTTATGTTTTCCTATTTCATGTTTGACAGTAATTTTTGCTGAGTTTCTTCTAGTTGTTTATGTTTTCTGTCATACCTACATTTTAAATTTTATGTAATGTATTAGTCTGTTCCTTTATTACCTCTGGGTTTGTATCTTGCTTAGAAAGACCATCTTTACCACATGTATGTTTTCCTCCCATATTTGCATCAGTTTGTTGTAGTTTATAGTTAGCTCTTTAATTACTCTGGAAATTATATTTTTGTATGATGAGAGGTATGGGCCTTATAATTATCTTTTCCTAAAGGAATAACAAAATTTGCCAGTGCCATTTATTTGCCTAATTCTGACTTGTCCCAGTCCTGTGAAATGACACTAGCACTATGCATTACATTTCCAAATGGAGTTGGCACTAATTACCAGATGATGTCGGAGCTCTGCCAACACCCCCCAGAATCCAGTACAGTATGTCTTTTGCCTACTCTAGGTGCTTTTATTCCCAACAGCCATCATCTGCATTTTTAAGAGGCTTACCTTCAGGCTGCCAGAATCTATGTTTCCTTGCTCATATGGACAATTGGAAGGATCTGAGAAAGTTTGTTTTCCCCAGGCAGCCCATCACTAATGGTTGCTGGGATATAAATATTGAAGCTTCCTTGCCCCCCAAACCATGACAACTCTGAGGGGCGAACTTCACCATCTCCCCTGGATTGAGTCAGTGGTACTGCTAATTCTTTTATACACCATCAAGAATTAGAGTCTATGTTATCTTATCTTGTGGTTGGACATATCTTTGTGACAGCTTCTACAGTAGAATGCAGCTTCCACGTAGAGAGATCACATAGAGTGAGAAAGAGATGGCCAAAGGGTCTGAGCTCCAACCCCCAGCTGTTTGAGTCTTACCAGTCCAGGTGCCAGACATATGAGGTAAGACACCTTCAAGATGGCCCCAGCTGTAGCCACCTGCTGGTTACAACCACCTAAGAGAGCCTGAGTGAGAAATGCCTAGCTAAACACAGACAAACTCAAAATTTGTGAGCAAATTAGATGATTGTTATTATTTTAAGCCTCTACTTTGGGATTGTTTGTTATATAGCAGTTTTATTTTGTTTTATTTTCCTACGGCTGCCATAACAAATTATTACCAACTGGGTGGCTTAAAACAACAGAAATTTATTATCTCATCGTTCTGGAGGTCAGAAGTCCAAAACAAAGGTGTTAGCAGGTGATGAGAGGTATGGGCCTTATAATTATTTTTTCCTAAAGGAATAACAAAATTTGCCAATGCCATTTATTTGCCTAATTCTGACTTTTCCCAGTCCTGTGAAATGACACTAGCACTATGCATTACATTTCCAAATGGAGTTGGCACTAATTACCAAATTCACATCTGTCTCACATACAAAATACATTCACCCCATCCCAGCATCTCAAAAAGTCTTAACACTTGTCTATTATCCGCTCGAAGAGTCCCAAATCTTTTCTTCTAAGTCATCTAAATCAGGTAGGGGTAAGTCTCTGGGTATAATCTATGCAAGGGAAAAATTCTTCATCTATTGACCTGTGAAACTAGAAGATTACATACAAAATACAATGGTAAGACAAGTATAAGATATATTTCCATTCTAAAAGAGAGAAAATGGAAGTAATAAAGGCATCATTAGTTCCAAATAAAAAAAATCCACCAGGGCAAGTTTTATTTGATTTCAATCTTTAGAATAATCCTTTGTGGCTCAAATCTATATCATCTGTGCCCACAGCTCTATAGGCCTCTGTACTCGTAACAGCTTGATAGGCCTTTGCTCTCATTTCTCCAGCCTCTACCTCTGCATCCATAGTTCTGCCCTCATGGTAATTTTTCCTTTTTCTTGACAGGCAGCATATGCATACAGCTGAATAGCTCTATCACTCCATTTTCTGCCTATAGAATTTCTAAAAATCAGTACTCTTGCACTTTGTCCCATGTCTATCCCTTCAGGCCAAGCTGGAAGTGTTTGTGTTATGTAACATTCTCAAAAACCTTGTGAGCCTTCCATATATGTCATGAGGATTCATGCCATTAGACAAGAAGGTCCCCAACAGATGTTTCCTGAATAACCCCATCTCTATTCCTGGCTCTGCTGAGAAGTTTGAGTGGAGTCATATGCCTAATCTTTTCAGCAAAAGTTTGTCTAGCTGCACCCTTTGCTCTTTCTCCAGAGCATACTTTCCCAACAGTGAATCTACTAATTTTTTCATCCTTTGTAATACAGATAAGCCAAGAACATTTCAGTTCATCAGGTGCTGGTTTCTTTTTTGCTTAACAGTTCCTTCCTCAATTTATCTTTTTACTTACATTTTATTATGAATAACAGAAAGAAACCAGTCCACACCTTCATCACTTTGCTTAGGAACTTCCTCAGCTAATTATCCAAGTTCATCACTTACAAGTTCTGCTTTCCACATAACTACAGGACACAATTTAGCCAAATTCTTTGCCACCATTTCACAAGGATTGCCTTTCCTCCAATTTCCAATACATGATCCTCATTTTTCTGAGCCCTCAACAAAAATGCCTTTATCATTCATATTTGCCAACATTCTGTTCATGATGAGAGATGCATTTTCTGAGATAACAGAAACTTTCCCTATCATACTCTTCACTTCCTTCTGCGCTCTCACCAAAATTGCCTTAAAGTTCGTGTTTCTACTAGTAGTCTCTTCAAGGAAGTCTAAGCTTTTTCTCCCATGCATCTCAAAATTCTTCCACTCTCTACCCATTACCTAATTCCAAAGCCACTTCTAAAGTTTTAGGTATTTGTTACAGTAGCACTCCATGTCCCAGTACCAAAATCTGTGTTAATTTCCTAAGACTGCTGTACTTAATTAGCACAAACTCAGTAGCTTAAAACAAGAGACATTTATTCTTTTATAGTTCTGGAGGTCAGTCATCCAAAATCAAAGTATCTACAGGGCTACACTCCCTCTGAAAGCTCTAGGAAAGACTTTTTTCTTGCTCCTTCCAGGTTCTGGTGGCCCCATGCTTTCCTTGGCTTCATCGCTCTAATTTCTGTCTCAATCTTCACATGGCATTCTCTTTTATGTGTCTCTCCTCTTCGTTTCTTAGAAGGAAACTTGTCGTTGGATTTATGCCCTGGACAATTGAAGATAATCTCATCTTGGGATCTTTAATTATGTGTTATGACCTTTTAACTAAATAAGGTCACATTCACAGGTTCTGAGGACTAAGACATGGACATGTCTTTTGGGGGGCCACCAT